TAAACACATTGGGGTTGGGGCTAGAATTAAAACTAGGACATACCAGTTTCAAAAAGCAAAGAGAGCAGAAATCTTGTAGCGGGACCACAATACAAATAGCAAGAGTATACTTATGAGTGTGAATCTGAGTTCAGAAAAAGACTCGAGTGTGGTCGTGTGTGTGTTAAGAAAGGAGAAGGGTATTTATAGTTTGAAATCAGGCAGGGAACAAAGGTAGAAAATAATCATGTATCAATTAGAATCAATCAGTAGGAGAAAATCCTTTGATTGAGGAGTTCAAATTTGAACGGTAATGGGCAGAAATTATTTAAGGAAGGAGATCCAGTAAACATATTATGCATAGCATAAATAAGGGGTAAATACATAGGGGTTTTAATTAAGGAAAGAAAATTTGAAACACACGGTTAAGTAAATAAGGCAAAAACAAAGTAAATCAATTAGTACATAGTAAATCAGGGAATCGGGGATTCAAAATCACTAATGAACCAAGTCAGAAATAAGGGAATCGAAAGGTTAAAGAGAGTTTTCAAATAAAACAAGGAAAGAATCAATCACGCTTACACAAGGAAGTCTGAAATCAGTCCCAAAATTCTAGAGGGACAACCAGTGTATATAAAGAATTCACAACATCGGGTGTGTGAGGTTAAATCATGACAAAGAGAAACAACAATGCTAGCGAAACATGATAGTCGTATAGGCTAATCAGAAGCATGCTAAAGAGTCAAGTAAAAGGGTCTCATAGATTTTAGCAAAAATTCAAAACCACATGGAGAAACAAAGATGAAACAACTTCAGGAACTCAGAGATTAGGGTTTTGAAACCAAGCAAGTTTAGAGATGAGAAGCACACAAAGCACGTAACAAGTGGCCTCAAACTCGAAAGAAACCCCCAAATTCTAGGGTTTTTACCATTAATCGAGTCTAGAGACGAAAACAAGCAAGTCAGGCAAAAGAATACTAACGAAATAAGTTCAGAAAACTCAAAGGGACTGAGACCTTAAACATGTATTTCCCAGAAAACTTCATGAAAACATAATAAAAGAAAAATCGTACAAAATACAGTAGGGGAAGTCATAAGAGCAAGATAGAAGAAAACACAGCAGGAGAAAAGACATAAGAATCACAGTAGAGCATGTAAAATCAGAGAAACCCTAAATCGTAGAAGATGAAAGGTTTGAAAGCAAACTTTTGAAAGAAACTTTGAGAAATCTTTTGAGAACCTTAAAATAAACATAGATCTAGAACAAATCTAGAGGAATCAGGAGAACCTCGAAAGGCTAGGGTTCCAGAAGAACCTTAGAAGCGAGAAAGCCTGGAAAAGTCACGATCTAAGCTAGAGAATATCACAATCAGGCTCAAAAGACCAAGAGGCACCGGAGCAAAGCCGGAGATGGCCGGGATCTTCGAATCGATGAAGGTCTGAGCGAGGACCTTCGAGGTCTGTCCTCGAACCTTCAGGTATCAAGCACATGAGAGCAGTAGGGGGTGAGAATAGGTCGTCCATGGTTAGAACAGCCATAGATTCCGATCGATTTGGGGTTGGAAGTGGTGGAGATAGAGATGGAGGCTAGGGTTTCTGAGAGTGGTTGAGAGTGTTTGAGAGAATGGGAGGGCTCAGAGGTGGCTGGTAGGTGAAAATGATTTAGGTTTAGAGGGTGTTGGTAAATTAAAAAAGGAAAGGAGAACGTGAGCCGTTGATCTGTTAGATCAACGGTTGGGATTAAAAGGGGAGCCGGGCGGGTCGTTTTAGACGGGCTGTGGGTCGGGTAGTTTTAGGAATTGGGCTGGGCCAATTGAAATTGAAATTGGGTTGGATCAGGGTGCCAAATCTGGCCAAAATTGGAATAAAAAGGCTGACATCTAAATAGCTATTTTCCCTTATTTATTTTACAAAAAATAGTAAAATATTTTTTGGAAACATATTAAAGGTACTAATTTAATTAATAATATATAGATATTAGATTAAAAATACCTGAGCCAATTTTGTAATTATAAACGCAATTAAATCTTAAAATAGGCTAATATTGCTATTATATGCAATTTAGCTTTTTTAAAATACTAAATAAATTTGTAAAAATGTACAAAATTACGTTTGCTATATATTAGTATAAATATAAAATCCTAATAATTAAATTACCAAAAAGTAATAATTTTGAAAATAATCATTGGGCTTTTATGGAGGAAAAAGGAAATAAATCAGTTTAAAACCTTAAGAATTATGGGAAAAAAAAGTAAAATGCCTGGATATACTTATATATGCGTATATATGCTATTTCAAAGATATTTTGCATATAAAAAAAATATACAGGGAAAAATTGGGTATCAACACGAGACAGTTCACGCCAGGGCAACTCGTGTTAAAGAAAATTTTCCCGCATCAAGATGAAGCCAAAGGGAAGTTTTCCCCCAACTGGCATGGTCCATACATGGTTCACCGGGCTCTGACAGGAGAAGCCCATATACTTGCCGAAATGGACGGAGAAGTTTGGCAAAAACCATCAACTCAGATGCAGTCAAGCGTTACTATGTGTAATTTTCACGCTTTCCCTATATGATGTAAATTGAACTACGTCTGACCTGATTCCCGTTTAAGAGGGGTTACGTAGGCAGCCTTATGGGTTCGATCACAATTCAATAAAAATTTCATTTTCCCCCGCAATTGGAAACTGGGGCAGAAATTTGAGGAGGGCCCTCAAATTCCGAAGCAATTTCAGCCGATCATCACTAGCAGCAGTCGGAAGCATCAACCCAGTAAACTGGGGCAAAATTTTGAGGAGGACCCTCAAAATTCCGTAGCAAGAGAGGTCGCAATGTCTTGAGCCACGTCAGAGTCGTCGGTTCATCTAAAAGTTATTTCTTAATTGTATACTTATGTCATTTTTTTTACAAATTCATGCATATTTATTACTAAAATTGCTTCGTTTAGCAACGCTACCCCAATGATGCATACAGTATCACCAGATCAAAGCCAAACAAGTCAAGCAGAGCCAGCGGGGACGCGAACTGACCTCCCCCTCTATAAAACTCACAAACATTGTTCATGAATACAATTCTCGAAATTGTTGCACTTACCAACATTTGCTATCCGCGCGCGCCGGTGATATTCCCTGTATCACATTATGCCCAGCAGTCACAATATCGCAACTTGCTATCAGCTAAGAAAGCTCTATCACCATTTGCCCTTTTTATTTCTTGCATATGGCTACCATTCTGCCTTCCGAGACTAAACATTGTATCCATCTGCATTTTCTGCATTGCATAAGGCTACCATTCTGCCTCCCGAGACTAAACACTGTCTCCATCTACATTTTTCTGCATTGCTTAAGGCTACCATTCTGCCTTCCGAGACTAAACACTGTCTGCATCTGCATTTTTGTGCATTGCATAAGGCTACCATCCTGCCTTCCGAGACTAAACAGTGTCTCTATCTACATTTTTCTGCATTGCATAAGGGTACCATTCTGCCTTCCGAGACTAAGCACTGTCTCCATCTGCATTTTACCGCATAAGGCTATCATTCTGCCTTCCGAGACTAAACACTGTCTCCATCTGCATTTTCTGCATTGCATAAGGCTACCATTCTGCCTTCCGAGACTAAATGTTGTCTCCATCTGCATTTTTTTCATTGCATGGCTGAAAGATCACCACCTCTACATTTGCATGGTTGAGAGATCGCCACTTCTGCATGGCATGGCTGAAAGATCGCCACCTTTACATTTGCATGGCTGAAAGATTGCCACCTTTACATTTGCATGGCTAAAATATCGCCACTTCTGCATTGCATGGGTGGAAGATCACCACCTTTACATTTGCATGGCTGAAAGATCGCCACCTTATTTACATTTGCATGGCTGAAAGATCGCCACCTTATCTACACTTGCACGGCTGAAAGATCGCCACCTTATCTACACTTGCACGACTAAAAGATCGCCACCTTGTTACCTTTGCATGGCTGAAAGATCGCCGCCTCATTTACATTTGCATGGCTGAAAGATCGCCACCTTATTTACATTTGCATGGCTGAAAGATCGCCACCTTATNTATATATTTTTTTTTCGATTATCAGTAACCCGAGTTCTTCTAAATTCAAGCTTTGACCTAAAATTTAATTTTCGGTTAAACAAGAATCCTACTTTAACTATAAAGAAGCTGGATTTTAATATATAACATATAAAAAAAAATTAACTAGTGGTTTTGTTTTTGCCCAAACGGCAACTCTTAGTACATTAAGGATATAATCCTTTAGAGTATGTATGTTAGAAGACTTTTAGTGTTAAATATTCGTAAATATGTGTACGGAAATGTTATGGACTCGATCGGAGCATTTATTGTAATGAATATTCATACTGCCAAAGTGAAGCTATATATATGACGGCAATATTTGCAATGCAGAACAATAAATAACGATTTGGAGTGCATGCACACCTAGTCTAAGTTGCCGACATTTGTATATCATCCGAAGTAATCTTTTTTTTTTTTTTTGGTAGGAAAGATAATATATATATATTACTGATTAGTAAATACGTACAGAGGATTGGGGCCTAACTGGCTTCCTATTACAAGCAGTTGTGGTATTATCAAGACTTAAGGTAGTACTAGTATTTACAGTTGTCATAGTCATCCTATTGGAATTATCATCATGACAACTAAGCACATCATAGGAGATTTGATTATTATTGCCACTGTAGCTATACCAAGACTGTGTAGCTATACCAAGACTGTTGCTATCCTAAGCAGCTTTGAATTGAGCAGCCTTTTTCATTTTCAAAATGTGGTGCAACCAAAAAGGGAACAGCTTCAAACACCCTTGGTGCCCGTACATTACCAAACTTGTCGCCCTCCTTAGCTAGTTGGTCCGCTATCATATTTTGCCCCCTGTGCACATGTTTGACTGCAGGATTACCTAGTCGGTCCAGATAGTACCTGCAATCAGCAATTATGTTTGAAAGAGCAAAAGTTTCTGTATGTAGTAAAGAGATAATGTCCTTTGCATCCACTTCCACTTCAAGGGGTGTGAGATTCCTTTCATAGGCATATCTGAGGCCTTGTGCTAATGCATAAAGCTCTGAAAAGATGGCAGAGTGACATGGTGCAGCACCCGCAAAGCCCATGATCCATTCAGCTTTGGAATTCCTAATGACTCCTCCTATACCTGCCTTGTGTTGCGAATAAGCACCATCTGTATTTAGCTTGTAGAAATGTTCCTTAGGCGGATTCCATTTAACATCTTTTGGCAGTTTAGTTTTGGCACTTGGCTTATGATTGTAGGATGTTAAGTAACAAAATTCAGTGGCTTGTTGATTCACTGTTTTTGGAAGGATCTTAATCCCGACCTTATTGTGAAGGTTTTTATTACGAGTATTCCAGATGTTCCATAAACTAAGTGCTAAATATGTGTTAGGTTTGATATTAAAAGGAAGTTGAAAAGACTTATGATTAATCAGATTATGAACCCAGGTATGTGTGCATGAAGAGGTTGTTATATGATGGATAATATTTGTTATTCCTAAATCATTCCAAAAATTTTTAGCATTATCATAATATAGGAAAATGTGTTTAATTGATTCGTCTTCCTTTTGACAGTAGAAGCAAGTAGCATCCTGAATGATAGTTAAGTTTTTTAAATATAGTCCTGTTGGTAACCTGTGATGGCATAAAAGCCAAATAAAACTCTTTATTTTTGGGTGGATAGGCAGCTTCCAAATCCATAGAAAAGTTGGAGATTGATTAGTTTCTTGTTGATCTGCCAAATCCAGGGTATTATATAATGAGTGTACAGTGAAATTTCCCCTTTGTGTTAATCCCCAATAAATGGAGTCCCCATTGTTTTGAAATTGAGAAACGTAAGTAGCATTTATCAATTGAGTAATATTTTGGCCTAAATCAAAAGCGATTAGGTCCGTATTCCAACTAGATGTGCTAATTAGTTGAGCAACCGTTAACTTGTTTTGATCCAAATTTAAAGGTCCTTGAATCATTGATCTTAATGTTGTGCCCGGCCTTAGCCAAGGATTGTTCCAAACATTAATAAGCTTACCTTCTCCTATCCTCCATTGAATGCCTGATTGGCATAGTTGCCAACCTTTTAAAATGCTATCCCAAGTATGTGAATTCTTGGTAACATTACCTTTAAGGAGGTATTTGTTAATGAGGATGCTTGACCACATAGCTTGTGGTGTCTTAAAAAGTCTCCAAGCAAGGCCCGCTAGTAACACTTTATTTTTTTGTTCTAACTTTTGGATGCCAAGACCTCCCTTAGTTTTAGGGCTTGTTATAATATTCCAATTAATTAGATGCATTTTTTTCTTTACTGTTGTAGTTCCCCAAAGAAAATTTCGTTGGTATTGCTCCATTTTATTAAGGATATGCTTGGGTATTTTAATATACTGCATAATATGATTAGGAAGATTATTGAGGGTGGATTTAATAAGGGTAGTGCGACCAGTCATTGTAAGAAAAATAGTTTTCCATCCCGCTAATCTATTCTTAAAATTGTCTAAGAGGAATTGGAAGTCTGCATTTGTGGGTCGAGCCTGGAATATAGGAAAGCCTAAGTATTTTCCAAATAACGTCCCTTCCTTGATAGAGAATGACTGAGTGACATAAATTCTATCATTTGGTAAAGTGTTTTTAGAGAAATAAAACTTAGATTTATCAAAATTAATTTTTTGACCGGAAGCATGATTGAAGTGATCCAACACATCTATTATTGCATGACAACTCGTAGTAGATATTTTGGAGAATAGGATAATATCATCTGCAAAAAAGAGATGTGATATTAGTGGCCCTTTCCTAGTTATACCAACAGGTTGCCATTGTAGGTAGTCCAGTGATAAGGATATGCTACGTGATAGCATTTCCATACACATTATAAAAAGATAAGGGGACAAAGGGTCACCTTGCCGGATTCCTCTTGTCGGAGTAAAATATTGTGTCCTAGTGCCATTGATCAGAATAGATATAGAAGATGTTCTCCGGATAAAGGACCATTCTAGTCTGTCAAAAGCCTTTTCTAAGTCTAGTTTTAACATCATGTAGGAGGATTTTCCTTTAACCTTTTTAAAGTAATTTAAAACTTCTTGTACTATAATCGCATTGTCAGAAGCTCTTTTCCCTTGTTGGAAACTAGTTTGGGAAAACACTTTCAAAATAGCATATGTATGCATATATAGGTATGTCCAAATGTTTTATTATTTTTCCTTAATTTTTAAAGATTTTTAAAATCAATTTATTGCCCTATCTTATCTAGAAAAACCCAATAATTATTCCCAAAATTACCATTTTGGTGATTCATTTATTTGACTCTCATATTATGCTAAAAATATAGCTAATGTAATTTTTGAATATTTTTTACAAATTTATTTAGTATTTTTAAAACTAAATTGCATACAATTGCAACATTAGCCTCTTTTAGATTTAATTACGTTTATATCTATAGAAATTAGGTCCAATATTTTTAATTTGATAATTATGTATTATTAATCATTTTAGTACCTTTAATTTATTTCCATAAATTATTCTGCTATTTTTTATAAAATAAATAAGGGAAAAGTGGCTATTTAAAATATAGCCCAATTGTGTTTCAATTGTAGCCTGAATTGACCCCCAATTTTAAACCCAATTACCCAGCCCAAATCCCAATCATACCCGACCCACAACCCGCCCGGATTCCCATTTAATCCCAGTCGTTGATCGCTCAGACCAACGGCTCACATTAACTCTTTCCTTTTTTAATCTTGACCTACCCCCAAACCCTAACCATTTCTCACCCCCAGCCGCCTCTGAATCCCTTCCTCTCTCAATTCTCTCTCAACTCTCTCCCAAACCCTAGCNTCCCAAACCCTAGCCGCCGCCCTCAACTACCACCCTGAAACTACCCAAATCAATGGCTTCCAAAGCCATTGGAAGCCTGTATCTACCTCCTATGGCTTCTACATGCCCGATTATCATGGTTTCAAGGCTAGATCTTGGAAAAGTCTGGTCCAGACCTGGGTTAATTTCAGTTCTGTGGCTGTCTCCGGTCATCTTTGACCTTGCTCCGGCCAGCCATGACTATTCAAGCCTGACTCTTGACTTCTCCTGCTTAGATCGATGATTTTCCAAGCTTTTCTAACCATCTGGGTTTCTTCTGAAACCCTAACATTTGAGGTTCTTCCGATTTCTTTTAGATCTGTAGACAACTCACGCATTTCACGGACAACTCACAAGCTAATAGTCACAATCCGCCCGGCATGGTCACAAACCGATAGGCCGCGACGGGTGCCCGAGTCCTACCTGTCAAACACCCCTAAGCATGTGTCTAAGATATAAACCCGAATAACATCTACTGAACTACGAGAATAATATACATGAAGGAAACCTGTCCAATAGGCATATGTACATATACGTGCAACATACGTAGGGCGAGCCGACAAGGCTGCTATAGACAACTATATACCTAAAAAATGGAAGCCGGCAAGGCCACATACTATCCAACTAGACATATTATCTACAGACCTCTAATAGAAATACAACTGTACAAAGACGGGACTGAGCCACGTCATACCCATATATGTATACAAGCGTATCGTACCAAAATAGAAAGCAGCTCCAGATCAAGTGGAGCACGCCAACTCTCGCTGTTCAAGGATACTAAGAAGGGGGACCGCCAGCTTGCCTACCTGCTCCTGCGAGCATGAAACGCAAGCCCCGTGAAATAAGGCGTCCATACGAAAAATGTACTGAGTATGTAAGGCATGAAAATCTGTACGTAAAAGGCATAGATGAAACATGGAATAAAGAAATCCATCTGTAAATCTGAGTAACTTTGTAAATTCTGAAACATTTATAATGTTATGCATGTGTATATAAATGTCGTGTCATGCATGGGTATAGGTGTACATAACATCATCAAGCTACTGAGGGCATCCATCATATCATCTTGGCCATGTGGGCAACATCATCAACATATACAACCTGATTAGGTGGTGGTGCGTATATAACGTCGTAAGGTTTTTTCCATATCCCATACACACACACGCGTGCGCACACACACATACACACACACACACATACACACACACACACACACACACACACATATATATATATTTATATATATAAATACGCGTATATAACTCCATCTGGTCATGGGTCAATGTACATGTATAAATGAATGAAACGCATGAAAAATATGTAATAATCTCAATACTCCTTCCGGATAAACCTTTTCAATTGCGTATTATTCTGAGACCCATGAACAGAAGGTATAATAATATGTCACATGGGGAATCAAGAACACAGAGACCCCTAGTATTTCTATGAATAGAGTCGTTTATGAAAATTGTGTATTTGCTCGTTTCTTCTGTATAACTTGGATCATGCCAAAAAGAAAGAAGGGATAGCCTAAACATACCTAGAGTAGGGAAAAATCCGTATGATATTCTTGGAAAAGGTTGCACCGTACTCCTTTAGAACCGCAAAATTTAATGTTGCTACAATCCTAAAAATTCTCAAAAGAATTCCGTTGAAACCTTATCACCATTGATATAGACGGATAACAATTCTTAGATGATAGCATGGATATTGGGATTGAAATAGGATGGGTTGACTCTTTATACCCAGGTCCTGCGCTGCTTCTGTTGCCCGCATAGGCGATGGTATCTACTCGGTGTTGGCCCAAGTTCAGATGAAGTTTTGAAGATTGACAAAATGAACTCAGTCATGAACCAGGTCCATCATGTGAGACACGGTGTTGATATGCTTACACATGTGACATACGCGTGAAGAAGATAAGTCTCAAGGATCAGCAACAATATCTTCTGAATTGAATCTTCTGAATTGATCGAAAAGATTGCATATAGGATAAGGAGTTGAAGTCTCCTTATGAAAAGAGAATTATATCCGGATCAAGGATATGGATTAGGAGTTAGAGTTGTTCTTGGACTCGAATTGTCAAAGGATCCACAATTCGAGTTCTTATCAAACTCTGATTACTAACTCTATAAAAATAACGATTGTTCTCTTTTACAGGTGATTGCACATAAGCAGAAGTTAAGCATATTTGAGAGCAAAAAGATCAAGTCTGATTTGCAAGCAACATATGCGAGATACAAGTGTGCACGTCTGAAGCTACATGAACTAAGATAGAAGAACCAGTTTCATCATTATGTTTATTCTAAGTCTAGTTCAATTGTAGTAGGTTTTCATATTGTACCTTTCAGCTTTCATAGAAGCAATTGTAATAGGTATATTGAGTATTCAAGTTAGAGTTAACTTGAAAGTGTCGCAACAGTTGAGGCTGTGTGCTACACTGGGATTAGAGTTAATCCTTAGGTTTACAAAGAGTTTTGTAAATGCAGTTTTTGGCTTAGTGATTTTAGTGGAGATTGGGAAAATCCTACTGAGTAGTAGGTCGTGGTTTTTTCACCTTTTGAGCCAGGTGTTTTCCACGTAAAAATCTCTGTGCACTTTACTTTCAGCATTTATTACTCCGCAAACTGCTGTAGTTAGAACACTTAGAAGAACCAGGTTCTTCTAACGCGAAAATTAGGTACCACACAAATCACCCCCCCCCCCTCCTGTGTGGTATTGACGTTTATAACATCAATTGGTATCAGAGCGGGTTATCCTTGAAGAGGTTAACACCTTAGGAAAAGATCAACATGAGTGCAGCACCTGGGAACTGGGAAGGGCAATCCAGTGCCAGACCTCCTCTCTTCAATGGCCTCTACTACTCCTGGTGGAAAAACAGAATGAGGGACCATATAATGGGCGAAGACTATGAGCTTTGGGATATCATCACTGATGGTCCTTTAGCCACAACCAAGAAGAATGCTAAAGGAGTGGATGTTCCAAAGACAAGAGTAGATTGTACTGCTGAAGATCTAAGGAAATGGGAGAAAAATGCAAAAGCCAAGAAATGGTTAGTGTGTGGACTTGGTCCTGATGAGTACAGCAGGATTCAAGGCTGTATTACTGCCAGGGAGATTTGGGACACTTTACAAGTGGCTCATGAAGGAACACCTCAGGTGAAGAGGTCAAGAGGAACACTGACAAAAAATGTATACCAGGTTCACTACACTGACAAATGA